ATTTCATTATAATGTTGATTCATCTTTTGTTGCTTATGATAGCCCTAAGACGATTTTTCATTTAACTCACTAGCGCCACCACGGTCCAATAAATGCAATGTAAATATTGCATACATGGTTGAATTATTTTGTAATTTTGCTAATATAATCTTGGGAATTTCTCTTTACTACATGTAGCGTATTGTTTTAAATATTTCACTCTAACATGCGTATTTTAGTTGTTATACGTAATAAATGGTAACGTAGCAAAAGTCTCAATCCGAGTCTCATATCGTAGAAAATTACTTGTGCTTGCTGTCACAAACGTAGATTTCGTATTTTACCAACTTTTTTTACACAATTCCGAATTTTTAATTTTAAGAGTGCCAGAGAAAAAATCAGGTGGAGTCAATACAGTATCTCTGTTATCGCAATGCTGTCCCGAGTGTGAATTTTTAAGTTTTACACAGTTTATATATCGTTTTCAATTTATACCGATATTTTCCGTTCAAAAACACAGATATTTTAAAATAAAATAGTGGTCAAAACGTTTATCTTAAAAAGTAACGTATATAGTATACATGTCTGAAGATTTAAAATATGCTTAACGAACGATAAATCTTTTGTTCGTTGTAAAAAATAAAAATGTCTATGTTTCAGGAATTAAAGCATTCCCGATGTTACCCAGATAAAGGAACGTTTGCAAATAACCATAAATGGTTTGTAGAATTTGGACCATTTCCGTTCGTTTCCGTTGACAGTTCGAATCAGATTTCCTCGAGTATAGTCACTGGTTGTAACATAGACAGGTCGTAAATTATTGTATTACGCGGCAGCACCGACTGATGTCGCTACTGTGACACTATTGCCGTCACTAGTAATACTAAACACCGTGTACAACGTGCAGCTGTAAACAGAGCATCGTCAAACAGTAATACGGAGACACTGTCAATTAAACTTTTATTTCAATTACACTCAGTTCATTTATTAACGAACAGTTTATACGGTTTACGACCAATAAATTCTGTTTAATATTCGGAATATTTAACGAGATTTTAACTTTTCGTTGTCCGTTGTCCCTGTCAGGCAAATTTATCGTCAAATTTTCGAAATGCTCGGTACAAATTTTATTTGCGAAGCTGTCGCGTAAACGTATCGTTTTACCAGGTTGCAAATTCTTCTACGGACTTTTAAATGTAATCTCGATTTTATAATTTTTTTTTTCTTTTGTAAAAATATATTTAGTATATTTGTAATAAATTTTCTGACGAAAATGACAGCAAACCCGATATACTTAAGACGATTTTAAATTCAAGATAATAATATCGTGAGACATAATGCATAATAAATAACACACATAATAAACTAATAGTGTAGAATTTAATTTAAACTTCTAAATTATTTCCGTTAGTAGTCTTTCTCTCTCTGTATATATATGTTTTTCTTTTTTCTCCCAAGTATGTTACATTTATTAACAATTCCTATAATCCGGACAAATATAAACAGGATATTTAATAGGTGACTCGAATTACTTGTAAAAATATTTGGAACAGTTGGCGAGAAATTCTGTACATTTTGAAAAATATTGAAGTTATTTCAGAATCGATAGAAAATAAGTTTTACGTTCGAACTGACGAAAAAGAAAAAAGAAGGTTAAATCTTTGAATTTTTTCAATTGTGTTTTCCGGAAAGGTACAACCATTTTGGAAAAAGTAATTGGAAAAATAAAAGTCACTATGCCACGTACACTGCGATATTGTATATATCGGGTGGTAAGAAAGAGAGCCAAAAAATTTAAGTGAATACTTGTAGTACTCATTGAGGGAAGTAAAAGGTATAAAATAGATATAAGTATTACAATGAATTCTTTGACGTGATTTTACTTTTATTATTTATAATAAAGAACATTCGCTATCGTTGATGATTTTCTTCGTAATATATCGAATGTAAATTTCAGGCCAAAGAAATTGATTTAACAACCTATGTCAGTTAAATATTTTTTTACTTCCCTCGATGAGTACTATAAACTCTTAAAGTCTTGAACTTTCTTCTCACCATGTATATAATGTCTTGTTGCATGTATTGTTACATAATAAAATTTATTTCCAATTAACTCATAATTTGCATTAAATATTATGACTAACAATGTAATTTATAATTGTGAAATAATCGAATAGTATGTTATTATGCTTCATAATAAATGCAGAATTAATATAAAAATTAGTGATAGTACAATATAAATTTTAAATAATTGAGTAACTAAATTGCTGTGAAAGTTATGTAAGATGGGAACAGACAAATCGTAATCCTTTTATTCATCGTGCCGTTTATCGAATATATGAAACCTACCTTTCATTACTTTATATCAATTTCTAACTATATTCTAACTGAATAATGATATAACATATAGTGCGTAAATACATAAGTACATCACAAAAATAATATAAAATTGATTACAATTTTCATAGAAAATTATTGAAATTATGGAAATTTTTTTTAAATGATTGTATTCATAATTAGTCCCCCTTAATTATCTAAGTTGAATAAGTAACGCAAGAACTAATTCTCTAAATAATCCACGTAATATAAATGATAATAGATAATATTGTAACAATGTTATATTAACTTGTATTAATTTTTATTTACAATTTATGTATCTCATATATATATACTTTGTATATTTACACTCGTACATACAATTTTATAAACATTATTAATTAATTTACTTTACTAATATATTTGTTCAAAGTTCATCGATATGAATAAAATAATATAATTCGCTAATTAATCACAAAATGATGTTCTTAATTTAATTAATTTCTCCCCGTCGAGAGTTCGCAATAATTAATCTTATTTCTAAATGCTTTTCATACACCACAATTTAATTTCTGTGACAACTCTATTTTACAGAATAGTTACATATATACAGTGTCTACTTTAAATGAATATACTCTAGAATCTTTTACAAAGAATTAAAATTAGGAAAAAAATATTTTTACAAAAGTTATTTGGTGTAATGGTGCACATACTGTAGTATTAAGAATTCTATTGTAGGTAGAGAAGATTTCAAGGTCATGATAATTTTTTAAATAAGATCAAGTATCGTTTTCAGGATATTATGATAGTGGATTTTGAAACATACTGTATATGTACAATTTCGGAACATCCTAATTTTAGTATTTACTTTATATGCTATCTTATATATTATTATCTTTATAACTATTGAATCAAGAAATTAGATCATTATTAATCATAAATGGACAATCGACCACTTCGATTGGCACTCATAACTATATGAGTATATTTTATGTTGCATATACTACTACATAAATGAAAATACGTCAAAGATTAAGAAGAGATGAATATCACTGACAGTTAAAATATTCATAATAATTCTATCGTGACAACTGCAACAGGTATTATTTGAATTATCGTAAATAGATTTTTTGATCAATATTTTATTACTATGAGTACCTTTTCAATTGAACCGATTGTGAATAAGACAAATTTCGTCTGACCTAATCCAAACCCTTTCAAAATAATTGGTTAAAGAAATAAAAGGTTGTTACAGCTATATTGAACAATTAGCAGTTACAAATAATAACATGGTTAATCTTAATATGATTAAGACCATAATAATGTTTGAAATTTAGAAACAATTGAAAAATAACAATGGATTGTGACTTATTTTAAATGTCATATTACTGCTGAGGAACATGGTCATTTTGAATGTTTATTAACTCGTTGAATGTCGAGCTAATTCCATATCACTAGCGCACAATGTAGAAATAATGAGATCTTTATTTTTTAACGTGAAACGATAAAATTAGAACAAAAAACTATTTAAACATGTTCTATGATGCATTAACATTTTGCATTGTAATAATAAGGTGACGATATAGACAAAATTTTATGAATTTTATGAATTTACTATTCATTTCAATTAAGTACTTTTATTAATCTGAGCATCGTTAGTTACTAAATACACCCATGGTACCACTGTCGAGTCGAGTGTCGGTTAGCAGTGACCTCTACGGCATTCAACGAATTAATATAAATAGCTGCTTAAGCAGTTGAAAAGTTGAGGTTAACTTTACAATTCGTCACTGTTTTGGGGTTTAAGATCATAACACATATACAATTAAATGCATACTACAGCCCATTGTAAAATTCTGTAAGAATAAACAAATGCTTTCGTGAAAAAGAATAATAATGTACGTAAAAATGATATTTAAATATCATTATCGGAAGGAATTTTTTGTTCAAGATTATTCCAATTTTATTTGATCAAGGTAAGTTCTTAAGACCTAATATTGTATGTTAATTCGATAAATATCAAAGCTAGCGTTCATTACTTTAAACATATGTAATATAAACGAAAAATGTATGTACCAACAATATGATTATAGTATTCATCTCTCCATCTCAAAATTTAATTTGATTAATATTGTGTTTGAGGTCACCTGATGTATACTAAGCTTTGTATATTTGAAAGCATTCTCGCATGCAATGTGAAATGCAATAGAAAGAAACATATTTTCCGGCAGAAAAAATTTTGTAGAAATTGGAGAGCATTACAAATTTTGGTGTCCGTTCAAAATCTTGTTTCAAATATTCCCCATATCATTTACCCCTTAAGCGGTTACTTAGTACACATAGCGTTCTGCCCTACAGTTAATTCACTTTTACAATTAGATGGACTATTTCGCTAGTTACATGTTTATAGGCACTTACAAAATTGGTACTACTGTCGAATAGATTTTTAATAAAGAATCGATTCGCTAAAGGAATAAAGATAAAAAGAGATATTTAAATGTCACCATTAAATAAGAACGCAATGCATATTAGTGCTCATATATTTATAAAAGCTTTAAAATATTTGCTTATATTATTAATAATTCACAGGCTAAGAGAGAAGAGCTATTTCATATTTAATATTTTTCTACATTCTTATTTTCTTGCAAACTGTGTAGTACCTCTTCCTATAATAAACTATACCGTAGTATTTGTATGTATATTTCTTATGTCATTGCAAGTAATACCGAGATGTAAGATGCTGAAGCTTTCATCATCTAAAAATATAAAATAGCCCTGTTTGTGTTGCTAACTAAAATACTGGTATTGAAAAATATTATTTAGGAAGAATATTACAGTTATTACTACAGATGCGTATTAAAATCACACCGTATTTATCAAAAACGATTCTATGAAGATTACGATTATAGTTTAATAAAATATAAAAATTGATGAAATACCATAGAAAATAATACATAAATAGTGTAAAATATAATATATCAATGCTCTTATATTACCATATGCAAATTCCAGTTCATCCTTTAAAATTATATTTCTAAACAAAGTAGTTAGCAAAATAATTTCGTGAAAATAAGTAATTAATATTATGAAGGACAAAATAAAGAACTTACTGATGTGAAGGTTTCCATAGATAAGCTTGAAAATTTTCCACAAGTGAAAGTAAATCCTCTTTGAGATCTTAATATGACAGGTATCAACAGGCGGCTTTCGTTTGGGTGTAAGTTATACCAAAGAAATTCGTACGCCGTGTTACCGATCAGTTTACTCTGAAATTTTAAGAAAAAACTACCAACATTTCCCATTGGAAATAGTTATTACCATTACACGAGTCAAAATTAATTCGCCTCTTATGCATTTTATAGCATGCCTACTTCTACGTCAATAAAAAGGAAAATAAATTTTGATGGACGTAGCTGCACAAATTCAGAAATTGTGAAAACAAGGAATACTATGAGTGTTCACATACAACTCCTTCCAGCCTCTCAATTTTCTTCACCTTAACTGATCTTTCTTAATACTTCGTGTGATCTTGACATCCTTCCCTCGCGTCATAATTTCAAGCGCTCGATCCAAACATTCTTCTTTCACAATTGTAACGCTCAGCACCAAGTATCCATCGTTCATTTATACACACGTAGATCTATCAAACACTGCTGACTCGCTCTTCATACTTCTATTATCCTTACAGTAAGACGATAAAAGTACTTAACGAATGAATAATTTTTTCTGTGTTTTCTCCTCTTTAATTTTAATTGAAATACAGAAATAATCAGATCCAGTGGCTAAAATCATTTCATAATATTTAATAATTTTCTTGAATTTGATTCCGAATTCTACTGTTATTATATGACGGTGTTCCATGTAAGACAACATTGTCATTCAACAAAAAAATATGGAATTAATTTCAATAGTGGATAGTACTTGATGTTTGACACTCGTTTTTCTAGATGTAGTGGCGAGGAGTGTATCAGTATGAACGTGTTGTACATTCTACCATCTTATGTACCACAATTTCGATGGTGAAGATTGGTATTATACTATGTTACAATGTTACGAAATTTTATAATAACTGCAGGAGATTAAAATAGACAGAGGATTGCTTGGTGGCCAAGTGGCAACATTCAACGATGCTGCTCGTCTTCTGATTCGGCCGATTTCTAGGAAAACGTCCATATAAGGCTGTGAGAATGCGTTTTTGGGGCAATCACTTGCCAACCGAGAACAGAAAAAAGTACTTAATCATCGGTCAAAACTCTGCGTACTTTGATCTCCTATATTATCATCTTACGTTACATGTATGGAGTAGCGAGTTACATAATTTAATTTCATCTTTACGACGTATATATGTCTTACTCCAAATGTAGTATTATTTTAGATATTCCAGGACAATTTTCATATTTCATGTATTAAATAATCGGAACTCAAGCTATTCAAAGTCTTTCACAAACAACTATTCGCGAAAGTGTTTGAACGTTTGAACTCTTGCTTTTAACAAGTGAAACATTAACGTGAAATCGTAGTGTTGGAAATAACGTGATATATGAAGTAAAATAGAAATTCCAGTGAAATAAATAGAATTAGAAAATAATTCAAGTATTTGCAATATATTTATTATAAATTGGCACTGTCTGTTGGTCACGAAAATATTCGAATGCAGTGTATAATAAACGTCGAAAACACTACTAATTAGAAAATAAGAAGTTTCAATTATGCTTTTCCATTAAGCAATATTTATTGCAGCCATCTGACCATTAAGTCACAAGGCTACCACGGTTTATATTCGGATTACCAGTAAGAACTATAAATATCGTATATATCACTGAATTATTTTCAATCGTTACACACCTTCAGCATTTCTCTTCGTTATATATACTACGTAACTTAAGGGATTCCAATTAATATCAAATTATATATAAAAATAATTATATTATTTGCGAACCTTATCACTGAGATATTCTCCAGCAAAGGAATATATAAGTCCCTCGAAGCTAATAGAAATATAGAACACAACACATTTTGTCAGCATGCTGCTTTCATTAGTAGTGTTTAATTCCTGCAACATAAAACTCCTTTTATTGATATGTTCTTGAATTATCCAGAACGTGAGAAAGAAGATATATGTATGTTTCTGTATATTATGGTATAGTGTACGAGGTGATTTTCTCCCTCGTGAATTTAAAGCTGTGCCGCCAGTTCAAATAACGTTCGCAGTTGAACCTTTACTACACCTATATGGCCACTGGCGAATGATGTTGCAGTACATAGTATTATATATTATATTTGTATATTTATATGTTTATAATTACATACAGATGGTATTGCCTTCGAATTCACTAAGGAACATATAACCTTGTACAATATAACATGTATAACATGCAACATACTTTACATTTGTATAAGTATTCATTTTGAAAAATGTCATCTATATATGTGCATAAAAATTTGTATTCGTGAGAAATATTGAATAAAGGATTATTTCAGTTTCTAAGAGGAAATACAGTTGTTATACTTATTTTTTATACGTTAAATGTTTTCAAGATAAATTGTTTCTTTAGATATATATTGTCATTTATGGACTTTTATTCTATGAGAAAATACAATAATTTCCTGTGTATGATATTTTTCCCCAAAATACATTATTTTGAGAGATGTTGAAAGATCGGTGACAAATCGTCTTCAGATTGTTGCCATATATAAAATAGTCAAATAAGCAGTATCAATAGATACACAACGTTATTATTGTATATCTGGATTACTTACAATTATAATAAGATAGCCCAAGCAGCAAGTAATAATAGTACATGTCAAAAGTTGAATAAGTGCTGTATAAGTAAAAAACTGTTCAATTTGCTCGGAAAATATGATAATATCTTGATGTCTACTAATAAAGAATTTCAGTTGCTCTTCCTTTTCATAACGAGTGTTCGTCAATGTCTGACACATAATATCGATTTGGCAACCTACATGAAGTACCTAAATGTAATGATCTGAATGCTATAAAATTATTATGCAAAATGGACATGAAGAGAAACTAATATCGTTAATAGTTTGATTTTTATGAAGATAAATTAAGAAGGTATTCCTATTAAGTGATTAAGAAACTTTACTTTCTTTATTGTCCTCTCCAATATCAATCTTTCGATGGTATTTTACGAAAAGATAATTCCTTTTGAAAATACGAATATATTTATGTAAACAGTAAATACAATTTTTTTCCTAGATAACAATGTTCATCCTACGAAGCCAGGGTTGGATTTATTTATAATTAATAACTAAAATTGTGATTCACTGAATTTTGAAAGTATAAACGTTTTATTTATACTAAGTTAAATATATTGTATGAGATACGTTGCTAAAATAATATCTCACAATGTCATTTACACTATTTACTGATAATGGGCAAAATATGGATTCACATACTTGATAGCATTCTGTGGAATCTTCGGAAAAAATATATAAAATTGTTACATTTCTTAATGTTTGTACACCTGAATTAATTTATATTATATAATATATAGTTACATACATTGAAATTTGTACACTTTATACATTTAAACATGAATTATATTGTAATTTTTTTTGTAAAATGTTTATAGTTGTTTGAATGTGTCTTATTGGATATCGCTTAGAGATAAAATAATTACAGAAAATTATTTTCCATTCACTATTTACGTTATTTATTCTACGTTATTACTAACTTTATTACGCGTTATTATACTTATCATATTTTAATATCTGCGGTATTTTACATTATTGAAAATTGAAATAATTTCCTTATAGCTGAACTTTCAATATAAATACCTTCTTAATTTATGAAATATTTTTAAAAATTGTACTATTAACAAGCAGAAACTTTCACAAGCCATGTTCAGTCATATTACGTAATATAAAGAAATTGTTCTCAAGAATTAACTATAATTTCCTTAAATTGAATCAGGCGAAAACATTTTTTTATTTGAATAGTATTCTGCATTCAAAACATAATTTTATCTCTCAAGTAATATCTTTTAACTGGACATGCCTTGATCAATGAAATTTAGGAATAGTTTAAAATTGATACTTACTACCATTAAAAGAAGAGCAGTGAATACGCTGAGCATAAAGGCTGATGATGCTTGAAAAAAATATTGAACAGTTATAACAAGGTTGTAAATGGGCCATCTGCTGGCGTCGAAAGGCAAGTCCATTTTTAACAAAAGTTTTCGAGATGTCGTTATGTTAGTTTCTTTAGGCATGAGGACATCAATTGCATAAAAGATCGTGCTTATTACGTACAGACTCATTATTCCAGTCGTCAAACAAAATGACAAATGCGCTGTTTTTGAAATTAAATTATTTGTATCCATAACAGCATATTTTTTACACTCTTCATCCATGGTTATTAAAATTTTACGAAGTAGGCTGTGGAGTACCATTTTAGGTATATGTTTACACAAATGTGATGCTTGTGATTAGATATTAACAAATTTCCTAACTAAGTTTATCTTAGAACAATGATATACTCAACAGATACCATGAAGATTACAAATACCAGTCAAGTATACGACATTCCAAGTATCCGTCATAAAAATTGAATATTTACCATAAGTTTATTGCAAAATTTGAAACACGTAGGATATGTGATGTAAATTTGATTAATTTATTCATAAAATTTAAAGAAGACGACATAGACTTATTAGTTAAATGTAAACACATATAATTAAATTTATTACAAGAATTTAAAAAATATATCTGTATTTAAGATATAATATAATTATTTTAATTATAATTCATTCATGTTGAGATTTCTGATGATTGACAAACGACCAATTCACAGGATATATGTAAGGTAACATGAATGAAGCATATAAAAGTAAATACAGCGGATTAAAATATAACACTATTATAATAAAAAACTACGAAACTATGTAATTCACTTGTATTTTCTTAAAAATCTATAATAAATAATTTTTTTTTAAATAAATATCCCTATAGCGAGTACTGACTGCAAAAATAAGGCACATCTGCATAAAACTATATTAGAAGAACCAGAGAAGATCCAATATATGACAAAGCTCTTCTATAAAATTATATACAAATGCAGTAACTAGGCTTATCATTTAAAAAACTATGAAAGATTAATTATTGAAAATCAATAAGAAACATATAACTAGCGATATTTGAAACGAAAAAACCAGGTTCACTTTTAAAAGGTATACATTAATAAATTATCCCAATCAAATATCCCTCATTGATTTTACAGAAAATTATTAAATTAGAATTTAAAATTGTATATTTTGATGGTTAACAGATTAATATTCCGACCAAAATAATTATTTGCATTTATATTACTCGATACATTAATATAATTACAAATACACATAATAATCGATTAACTAATAATAATTATTTCTTACCACAGTATAATAAAGTGTCTAGGTTAACAGTCTCTCTTGCGTATAGTCAACTAAGGGACATAATAATAAATAAAATACAATAAAACATAATTAATCCCTTGCCTGGTAACCTTACTTTGCAACTATAAATACAGTTAGCTTCGACTTCCAATTAGATTATAATTCACTATATTGAAGATGAAACAAACGTTAAATACAAATCATACAGAATGTTTTAATGTTACGAGATGTCAATACAGCAACAAACAGTTCACTCAAGTAGCTTCTAAAAGATTCATAAATCAAAGGGTTAAAAGAAATAAAACATAATACAAAGTATCGCAATATATTTGTAAACACGCCTTGATTCCTTATGCTGCAATATCGAGTTTAACTCGGCGTGAGTCTTTCATGTCAAATCTCACAATTATCAGCAATTTTCCGCACGCGACCATAAATACAGTATATTTAAGGCATATTAATTAGCGCAAAATTCGAAGAATTTCTAAACCTTTTATCGAATTTCGTCGTGGACGTTTTAAACGTATAATGATTGATCAGAATTAAATACTTTTCCGATGTATTATTTTCCATGATTAAGTCAAAATGCAAGGAGTTAAGAAGTAGAGAGAAGAATTACCCTCGTGTCTAAATCACTTAAAGATTTACGTCCAAAGACTCACCTGTGATGTGCCCAAGCGATAACTAATTTGACACCCATTAAAGTGAACGCCAAACAAGTGCCCAGGTTATCTATAATTTCCATGAGAGTATCAGATCTAAAGTGCGCAATCACGTAACTATACTGATGCCAATGCAGCACAGAAAATAGAATCATCCAGAGGAACTTCCGTAAAATCAAAAATGACGCGTCTGGCCAAGACGCGGCATAATGAAGGCCATACTTCACTGATTGACTAATCGTATTAATCGGTGCCATTTCGTCCAAATTACTTCACGAATTTCTCTCGTCTGGTAGATCTTCAAATCTCGATCTATGCTCGATAAGGTCACATTAAATATGAAACATGTTGATTTTTCCAGTAGTACTTCTGTCACGTCTGGTACCTCAGTTAGCGTGAACGTGAGATCTACTATATATGAACTTGTCTCTACAACTGGTTACGACAGACTGAAAAACTTTGCAGCAAAATCATCGTTCAAACTCGGAGCTGAGCAACTTATATCGTCATTGACAGCCATTTGTTTTACATTCTGCGTTCTCGCATAAATATTGCAAATAATATTACGGTGATTACAGGTTTCTTGGAGATATAGCTACGGAACTATTGGGGAGCGCTGGTCGTAGCTCCGATCTCAATTTTATTGAAACGGAGAATGCATAAATAAAAAATACAATACCGAAAGTTCGACACGCGAGTGCGCATTAAATTGGTCGTGTCACGAATTGAAGAAAAATTTGAAACTTTTCTAACGTCACTGGGAAGTGTAGCAAAATGCTGACTCACGAGCCAAGTTTCCAAAAGCTTATATGAGTTCGCGTTAAAGAAAGGGGAATATTAGTTCCTCATTTTGTAAATTAACAACTGAACTTTTCTGTTTTAGAGACAGTTAATTATCAGTGGGTGGTATTGGGGAAGTAATACGAGTGTAATTTTTTACGTTTAATATTTATCAAATAAAATATATACTTTTCTAGCAAATGATGGATATTTGGTACGACAATACATATGCTCTATGGTGTGAAATTAATTATTTAGTGTATAATTATTTATTTATCCAAACTATTTTAACCTACTAATGTCTCTGTTTCTTTCAGTGATTACTAATGTTATATTTTTCAATGACCCATTGAAAGGTAGTTTTATAAATTGTTTAGACAATAATTTTACAAGTGCTATGATTAATCTGACAACTTATACGTTTATAAAGTGTAAAGCTATCACTATATTCGTAAATAATGTGATATATTTCTCGCAATGGCAAGTTTAGCCGCGCAAGGTTACTTTTCACGCTCAAAATCATTTCACCTTATGCCGCATTTCGATTTAATATACAATAGTGTTCCATACACAATTTCATATTATTTCTCAGATTATGCATATTATTCTGTATAAGGTTTCGACATATTATTTCCCGACATTTTTTATTGCATTTTAACATGTTTTTCCGTGTACTATTTTATATCGTTTCCAGTTTAAACGTTATATATAATGTCCTTATCATGTATTATTTTAAACTATTTCTAATTACAATTAGACCTGTTTACTTCAAAGCACTATTTTATAAATTATTTTATACTGTTTACAATTGCAAGTTTACGTCATAATATTTCATGCATTATTTCGTATAATTCCATTTTGCAACGGAAAACAATATTTCAGACGTCGTTGTTTTAATTTATTTTTTATGACAATTTGAAGTGTGGTTAGGTTACTAGTGTAGTACGTAAACTATTTCATACAATTTCATAGTAATTAAGTTCAAAATAAAACAAGTCAGGTAATCATTATACAAGCTTATCTAGTCATTTTTCTTCTTACCTTCCACCTAAGGCATGTTTAGATACTTCGTGAAATTTGTTATCTTATTATAGAATAAGCACGTAATTATAACCTGCGTTCCTGGAGGCGGAATAAGTCGATGGAATTCAAATATGAAGGGGATGGGTTTATATTATAATTTACAAATTTCATAATTAGCGGATTATAGTAATTTTACTTGCTTAATGTGTACTTAACGACAACTTTGAAATACGAACTAGGTTTTAGATCACCAAGAACTTTAATGTATATGGTGAAAAGTGGAATAATCTCTTTGAATTTTGCGTATCAGCTTCAAGAACATTGTTTATTTGATTTAATACTGGGTGGGTATTTTTGCAAACATATAATTTGTGATATTTTGTACAATATAAAGTCAATTATATACTACAGTGTTATATTTTATACATAGCTTTAAATTTTGTGTATTTATTTCTCACCCCTTAACCATAGTTATTATCATCATTCTTCTTTCTTCTCCTTGGACTCTACCTTTCATTACTTGTGCTTCCTTTATTTCCAATTCCATTTTCAAGTTCTCTTTGTTTAGCTTTTCCACTTCTTTCTCTAGATTTTCTTTCTCAAATCTTTCTCCTTTTCCTTTTCTCCCTTTATATATTTCATGTTTCCCCTACCAGTTCCTTTATTCTATGTCTTATCTCGTCCATTCCTTTCTTCCAGTCTTCTCTTTATTTCTGCTTCTCTTCAATCCTTCCATCCCATTCTTTTCTCATTCTTTCTATTATTTCCTCCCATTTGCTTCTATATTAGCTCTACCATCATCCTCTCTATGTTTCCAGGCCTTTCTCTCATTTCAGTTCCCCGCTCTGTTATCTTTCTTTCCAGCTCTCCTTCTTTCTCCGTCTCTATCTCCCTCACTTTTCCCAACCCAAAAATTTCCAGTGTCGTCTTTTTGTGCTCATTTTTGCTACCAACAGCTCTTCGCATCTTTCTTGCCTTCTATTTAGTATCTCTCTATTTTCTTCTATCCCTTTCTTCGCCGACAAACTGCTTCAACCTACTCTGCTTTTTAGAGCTTCCGTCTTTGCCCTACCATTTTTTCTGACACCTCTTCTTAGTTTTCTCCACATTCTTACTTCTGTCAGTTCTCTTTAATTTCCGTCACGTATTCCTCTCACAATTTTATGAATTTGTCGCTTCTCTTCGATTCGTAACTTTTTAACTTTGCACGTTACGTTATATTTCCATATTCCTATTTCAAGATTCTACCGTACATGCTGTTAGAATATGTAAAATATTACGAAGAATTTATTGATACTCTACATAGAGATTGTATATGGAACACATTGTAACATCATTATGCTTTTTTCCTCCATGATTTGCAGCCGATTGTGTCGACTTCATCATCGATTCTGTATTTATTTCTTCATAATTGTACACTTATTAGACAAATTTAATTCATATACTCCGTTATTATGCTGTTATTACGTTATACAAATATGTTATTATATTATATACTGCTATTGTATTAATTTATAATTAATCTAATACAATTATTCTGCTTGTTATAGGTACTAATTAATACGTATTGTCTAACTTATCGAATCCAATAAAATTCGATTTCGAATCAAAGGGGCTTATAGAACCTACATTTACCTTAGACATTTCTTTCTCCTCTCGACGAGTACTATTAAATGCTTCGAGTCGTTTTTATCACTAAACCTACCATGGCCAAAATGAATGTTTTTGAAACTGTCATTCAATGTTCCGCATTCAACATTATTGTCAGACCAACTAGTCCTTCGAATTTTTCTTCCAACCTACGCGCAATCAACCTTTTGTAGCATATTTTTGGACTTTATTAGGGTGGGCTGGTAGTAGTGTTCCCTTAGGGAACTGCGTGCGGACGGACAAGTGATCGCGTGCAAAAATTGCATGAATGGGATATTTATGACCGAGTCGAGTGCAAGCAATGAACGAAAGTCTAGGAATGCCTTCGAGTGTCTGAAGTACCTGGACCACCAAGGGCTAGGTCGCGTGGGAAATGAGTGATCAACGAAGAGAGTTTGTGTATGAAATGAGAGAGTGTTTGACTTTAAATAAGGGTACAAGAGCGCGGGCGAGGCAGAATGCGTGCAGTCGAGTCATACCGAGTAGAAGATCGTGTGTTTGAGAGTTAGAGTTGAAGAATTGAGAGAAACATAGTGTAATATTTTAGTTTAAATAAGTCTGTTTGTTATCAAAAAGCAGTCGTTGTATATTAAGCAAACAGATCTCTGTCTACATAGGATTTATCAAGCATTAATTCTATAATAGTTTGTGCTGTTTCATCGTGAGACAAAAGCTAGACCAGGAAGACCCGCCACGGTCTTGTAACTGCCGGACCCTAAATTCTAATTAATTTTACATTCGCTATTTCCATCCACTTATTAATGCAAAATTTTCTTCATTTTCTCGGCTCAACGGACGCCAGACATCGTTCAGCGCCTGATTTTAGAAAACTAGGCAAGGGCAGATAGGATATGGTTGACAATGGACCAGTAGGAGACAAGGCTCGGTCATGTGTGCAGGTTACGGCGTTAGAAGCCATAAATTATAGGCGACCTCACAGCGGTCACTTCTCACTAAGACTCACGAACGTGCGGGTGACCCTCCAAAAGCCTCACTTTGAAAAAAGAGTTTCCTTCGCCAGCGATTTTGACGCGAAGAACGTTCTCTTTTAGAGACGGCTGATTCGTGGTCCAAAGGTCCAACCTTGATCCGACAAACTGCCAATCCGAAGAACGCTTTTCCTTTGGCAATTCGTGATCACCTTTCTGCTTCGCAAGATCGTCATTCGTTGAGTGTTTTCAAGTGTAAACATCGCTCCAAGCAAGTCGTTGAGAACTTTCGGTCCCGAACATATTTCTCCTGATACGTGAAATCGTAGTGTTGGAAATAACGTGATATATGAAGTAAAATAGAAATTCCAGTGAAATAAATAGAATTAGAAAATAATTCAAGTATTTGCAATATATTTATTATAAATTGGCACTGTCTGTTGGTCACGAAAATATTCGAATGCAGTGTATAATAAACGTCGAAAACACTACTAATTAGAAAATAAGAAGTTTCAATTATGCTTTTCCATTAAGCAATATTTATTGCAGCCATCTGACCATTAAGTCACAAGGCTACCACGGTTTATATTCGGATTACCAGTAAGAACTATAAATATCGTATATATCACTGAATTATTTTCAATCGTTACACACCTTCAGCATTTCTCTTCGTTATATATACTACGTAACTTAAGGGATTCCAATTAATATTAAATTATAAATAGTATCCAAATACGTGTGACTACATGTTCGAAAATTATATTTGTTACTAGAAAATAATTAAATTATTTGCTAACCTTATCACTGAGATATTCTCCAGCAAAGGAATATACAAGTACCTCCAAGCAAATAGAAATATAGAACACAATACATTTTATGAACATGCTTGGCTCATTAGTATCTTTTAATGTCTGCAACATAAAATTCATTTCATAGATATGCTATTAAATTATTTAGAATGTAGCAAAGAAGGTATATGTATGTCTCTGCATATTATGGTATAGTGTACAGGATGAGTCTCTCCCTCGTGAATTCAAAGGTTGTACGCCAATTTAGAAAACGTTCACAGTTGAATCTCCACTACTCGTTACATTGCCACTGTCAAATGATGTTGCAATATTTAATATTATGTATTATATTTGTAAATTTATATATTTATATTTAAATACAGATAGTATTGTCTTTGAATTCACAAAGGAACGAATTACCCTGTAAAATATTTTTGTATAACGTGCAACGTGCTTTACATATATGTAAGTATTCATTTGAAATATTTCATCTATACATGCGCATGAAAATTTATATTCATGAGAAATGTCGAATAAATTAATATTTCGGTTTCAAAGAGGAAATACAGGAGTTCTAATTATTTTCTATACGTCAAATGTTTTGAAGGTAAATTGTTTCTGTGAATATACATTATCATTTACTGGCTTTCATTCTTTGAGAAAACGCAACAATCTCCTGTATGTGATATTTTTCCCCAAAATACGTTATTTTGAGAGATGTTGAAAGATCGGTAACAAATTGTCTTCAGATTGTTGCAATATATAAAATTGCCGAATAAACATTATTAATATATATACACAACCTTATTATTGTATATCTGGATTACTTACAATTATAATAAGGTAGCCCAAGCAGCAGGCAATAATAGTACTTGACAAAAGTTGAAAAAGTGCTATATAAGTAAAGAACTGTTCAATTTTGTCGGAAAATATGATAATATCTTGATGTCTGCCAATGAAGAATTTCAGTTGCTCTTCTTTTACATAACGAGCGTTTGTCAATGTCTGACACATAATATCGATTTGGCAACCTACATGAAGTACCTAAATGTAATGATGTGAATGCTATAAAATTGTTATACAAAATAGACATGGAGAGATATTAATATCGTTAATAGTTTGATTATTATGAAGATAAATTAAGAAGGTATTCCTATTAAGTGATTAAGAAACTTTACTTTCTTTATTGTCCTCTCCAATATCAATCTTTCGATGGTAATTTACGAAAAGATAATTCCTTTTGAAAATGCGAATATATTTATGTAAACAGTAAATACAATTTTCTTCCTAGATAACAATGTTCATCCTACGAAGCCTGGGTTGTATTTATTTGTAATTAATAACTAAAATTATGATTCACTGAAGTTTGAAAGCATGAACGTTTTATTTAGACTAACGCGGAACGTGCTAGTCCTTCGGGTCATCGATTTAGTTCAGACTTTGTAGATTTGTAGATATCGTCATGCAGTTTAAGAAAATATATCATTATAGCTGCAACTAGTCAACAGTTTATGAAATATTTACGATTAAAGTTTTATTACTGCTATAATTATACATTTATTTCCAGCATTATACAAGTAGAATCGAGGCCTAACGGCCATAGTTTAACATTCTTATAGCGAAGGACCGTGATTCGATTCCCGTCCCCATAGTTTGTTAGTTTTTTCATCTATTTTTTATTTTGTGTTCATTTTTGGTTTATGAAAACATTGTAAATAAAATTTCTTAATAAAATAATTTATTTTTTACGCTTTCTTATGCTAGTATATATTTATTACGAAATAATATTACGAAGGAAAAATCCTTTTCTATAGCAATCTTATTTACTACAAAAAATACGAAAGCTATCGCTCGTGTAAGTATTAATTATTAAATGAAACATCGTATAAGAATGTTTCCTATAATTCCAATTTTGCTGTACAGCTACAAATGTTCATAAATTAATTAGAAAAACTTGGAAATTTATTATTTTTCTACTGCCGAATAAATAAAAATTTTACCGCCTGCGATCAGCGCCATCTATGATTTGGGCTCAAAAATCAAGAAAGTAATAGGAATATAGAATAGGCAAGGAGGTCGTCGAAGGGCTAGTCACGTGGTAGACAAGGACAGAGTGGGGATAGAAAAGGATAGAATGGCTTCGGCAGTGAAAAATTATTTATTACACAATTTTCGTAAACAATTTGTGAACTTTCATAATTTCTTTGCAAAGCTGGAACTTCAGGCTGCATTCCTATATAATTTCCGTAAAGAATTTAGCTCTGAATTGTTAGTTACTAATTTTTGTTTGATGGCGTCTATGATTTCGTAACGGCGACCATCACGATCTTCCGTGAAAATATTTAATGCTCGACGAAACTAGAAGCAAAATGTGTTCAAAGGTTAAATGAGAAGATTCGCAAGAGCATTGTCTTTCTAATGAGTGAATAAAGTTTCATAAATTAATTGCGTGAAGGGTTGTAATTAATGAAAAACCAATGGCGCCTTCGACAACAATTCAAACACTGCGCAGAATAATTATTAATAATTAATTAATTAGCGACATATTTATATCGCAAAATATATTGGAAAGTTCTTGAAGGATCTAGTTTTACGATGCAATTATAAAAGTTCATAAATTAATCCCAGATATTGAGTAACTAAATAATTTTCTAATAAAAATTCAAAAAGGAACAGTCAGCGCCACCTACAGTTTCGTACTACAATTAACGGAGCACAAGCTTCCATAAAAATCGTAGGTGGCGCTAACTGTTCCTTTTTGAATTTTTATTAGAAAATTAATTAATTACTCAATTCCTGCGATTAACTTATGAACTTTTATAATTGCATCGTGAAGGCAGATCCTTCAAGAACTTTCCAATACATTTTTCGATATAAATTTGTTCCTAATTAATTAATTATTAATAATTATTCTGCGCAGTGTTTGAAATGTTGTCGAAGGCGCCATTGCTTTTTCATTAATTACTACCCTTTACGCAATTAATTTATGAAACTTTATTCACTCATTAGAAAGACAATGCTCTTGCGAATCTTCTCATATAACTTTTGATCACATTTTGCTTCTAGTTTCGTCGAGCATTAAATATTTTCACGGAAGATCGTAATGGTCGCCGTTACGAAATCATAGACGCCATCAAACAAAAATTAGTAACTAACAATTCAGAGCTAAATTCTTTACGGAAATTATATAGGAATGCAGCCTGAAGTTCCAGCTTTGCAAAGAAATTATGAAAGTTCACAAATTGTTTACGGAAATTGTGTAATAAATAATTTTTCACTGCCGAAGCCATTCTATCCTTTTCTATCCCCACTCTGTCCTTGTCTACCACGTGACCAGCCCTTCGACGACCTCCTTGCCTATTCTATATTCCTATTACTTTCTTGATTTTTGAGCCCAAATCATAGATGGCGCTGATCGCAGGCGGTAAAATTTTTATTTATTCGGCAGTAGAAAAATAATAAATTTCCAAGTTTTTCTAATTAATTTATGAACATTTGTAGCTGCACAGCAAAATTGGAATTATAGGCAACATTCTTATACGATGTTTCATTTAATAATTAATACTTACACGAGCGATAGCTTTCGTATTTTTTGTAGTAAATAAGATTGCTATAGAAAAGTATTTTTCTGGCATAATATTTGGATTATTTTGTAATAAATATATACTAGCATAAGAAAGCGTAAAAAATGAATTTTTTTATTAAAAAATTTTATTTATAGTTGTGCATTTGCAATGTTTTCATAGACGAAAAACGAATACAAAATAAAAAATATATTGAAAAAATTACGCTCGGGAATCAAACCCAGTCCTCAATTATAACAATCCTCGATCGTCACCGTTACGATATAGCTTCAATTAAAATGTATTTGAAGTAAATGTATAATTAACGAAGTAATAAAACTTTAATCGTAAATATCTCAAAAACTATTGAGTAGTTGCGTCTATAATGATATATTTGCTTAAACTGCATGACGATATCTACAAACCTGCAAATTTTCAACTAAATCGGTGACCCAAAGGACTTGCACTCTCCTTGTAAGTTAAATGTATTGTATGATATACGTTGCCGAAATATTATCTCTTAATATCATTTACACTATTTACTGATAATGGGCAAAATATGGATTCACATACTTGATAGCATTCCGTGCAACCTTCGGAAAAAATATATAAAATTGTTACATTTCTTAATGTTTGTACACCTGAATTAATTTATATTATATAATATATAGTTACATACATTGAAATTTGTGCACTTTATACATTTAAACATGAATTATATTGTAATTTTTTTTGTAAAATGTTTATAGTTGTTTGAATGTGTCTTATTGGATATCGCTTAGAGATAAAATAATTACAGAAAATTATTTTCCATTCACTATTTACGTTATTTATTCTACGTTATTACTAACTTTATTACGCGTTATTATACTTATCATATTTTAATATCTGCGGTATTTTACATTATTGAAGATTGAAATAATTTCCATATAGCTAAACTTTCAATATAAATACCTTCTTAATCTATGAAATATTTTTAAAAATTGTACTATTAACAAGCAGAAACTTTCACAAGCCATGTTCAATCATATTACGTAATATAAAGAAATTGTTCTCAAGAATTAACTATAATTTCCTTAAATTGAATCAGGCGAAAACATTTTTTTATTTGAATAGAATTCTGCATTCGAAACATAATTTGATCTCTCAAGTAATATCTTTTAACTGTTTAAAATTGATACTTACTACCATTAAAAGAAAAGCAGTGAATACGCCGAGCATCAAGGCTGCTGATACTTGAAAAAAATATTGGACGATTATAACGAGGCCGTAAATGTGCGCTGCACTGATATCGAAAGGTAAATCCATTTTTATCACAAGTGCTCGAGATGTTACGTTAATTCCTTGTGGCGTGAAGACACCAACTGTATAAAAAATCGTAGATGATAGATACGTACACATTATCGCAGTCGTCAAACGATACGACAAATGCGCTGTTTTTGAAATTAAATTGTCTGTATCTATATTAGCATATTTTTTACACTCCTCTTCCATAGTTGTTAAAATTTTACGAAGAAGGCTGCGGAATACGATATTAGATATGTATTTAAACAAAACTGATGTTTGTGAATACATGTTAACATATTTACTAACTAAGTTTATTTTCGGCCTATTCTTAGTTCAATAGATATTATGAATACTAGAGAAATTAATCAAATACGAAATTCCATGCATTCATCATAAAAATTCCATATTATTATAAATTAATTGCAAAATTTGGACCCTACAGGATATGTGATGACTAATTTATTTAAAAAATTTAAAGGAGAAGGCACAAGCTTATGAGTGAAATGTAATCACACATAATTGAACAATAATAATTAATAACTAAAGATTAAAAAAGTATGACTGTATCTTTTATATAACGAAATTATATAAAATGTTATAAATATAACTAACTTATTTAAAAAATTTATATAAAAAGGAATAAATTTATTGAAAAAGCTAAAAAATATATCTTTACTTGTCATATAATGTAATTATTATTAAAATAATTCATTCACCTTGAGATTTGTGATAATTGACAAACGAACAATTCACATGATATATGTAATGAATAATGTATATGAAAGTAAATATAGAGAATTAAAGTATAATACTATTGTAGTAAAAAATTACGAAACTATATAATTCATTTACATGTTCCTAACAATCTGTAACAAATTATTTCTTTAAATGCATATCCCTATGGCGAGCACTGATTGCAAAAATAAGGTACACCTACTTGAAACTATATCAGAAATACAACAGAAGATCCAATACACAACAAAAACTTTTTTATAAAATTGTATACAAATTCAATAACTACGCTTATTTAAAAAGCTATGAAAATGTACAAACAACATATAACTAGTAATATTTGAAACGACAAAACTAGGTTCATTTTTAGAAGGAATACCATAATATATTATCCCATACAATCAAATATCCCTCAATAACTTTACAGAGCAATTTAAAATTCTATACTTTCATTGGTAACGTATTAATACTCCGACAAAAATTATTATTTTCATCTATATTACTCGATACATTAATATAATTAAAAATACAAATAATAATCGATTAACTAATAATAATTACTTCTTACCATAGTATAATAAAGTGTCTAGGTTTACAGTCTCTCTTGCGTATAGTCAACTAAGGGACATAATAATAAATAAAATACAATAAAACATAATTAATCCCTTGCCTGATAACTTTACTTCGCAACTATAACTAGAGTCAGCTTTGACTTCGAATTAGATTAAAATTCACTATATTGAAGATGGAACAAACGTTAAATACAAATCATACAGAATGTTTTAATGTTACGAGATGTCAATACAGCAACAAACAGTTCACTCAAGTAGCTTCTAAAAGATTCATAAATC